ACCCACACCACCACAACCCACCCCCAAATTGTGACTGCTCTTCTTATAGTTCGGGCATGGGTCATGTGGTATGGAATACCTGCCCCCTGCCGGCTCCTGGGGGAAATTAACCCCATCCCTGCTGGAACCAGGACAGCTTCCAACACCGTCATAAGGATCTTGAACTCCAGCATTTCATGGTCACTGCAACCAAGGCTGCCCTTGAGTTTCACGTTCCCCACCAGCCCCTCCTGTTTGGTGAGAACAAGATCCAGCAAAACACCTCTCTTCATTGGTTCTTCTATCACTTGGAGAAGGAAGTTAGCATCAACGCATTCCAGGAACCTCCTGGATTGCTTATGCCCTGGTATGTTGTCCCTCCAACTGATATTGGGGTGGTTGAAGTCCCCCATGAGGACTAGGGCTTATGAACGTGAGGTCGCTCCTATCTGTCTATAGAGGGCCTCATCTGCTCGGTCAGGTGGCCTGTAGCAGACCCCCACACTATAACTTTACCTATCCCTGCCCTCTCTTTAATCCTGACCCATAAGCTCTTGGTCAGCTCTTCATCCATCCCCAGGAGGGAGCTTCATGCACTGCAGCTGGTCCTTGACAAAGAGGGTGACACCCCCTCCTTGTCTCCCCTGCCTGTTTTCCTAAAGAGCCTGTATCTTTTCATTCCAACACATTCCAGTCGTAGGAGCCATCCTACCATGTCTCAGTGATGCCAATAAGATCATAGCCCTGCAGGCACATGCATGTCTCTTGCTCCTCCTGTTTATTCCTCATGCTATGTGCATTTGCATAGAGGCATTTAAGTTGGGCCCTCGATGAAGCTGATTTACTGGCTGGAGTGGCTGCAATTCCCTTGTGCTGCACTCCAGGTGCTCTCCTGCTTACCTGTGATCTTTCTCTGGGTGCCAGTTGCTGTCACTGGCATCAAACTGGTAGGCGTGGGATGGACTGAGGTTCCCCTCCCCTGGCAATTTATTCCTATAGAATATTATAGTTTTCACTCTTTTAACCATTAGGATGTTTGTCATGTTTGTATGTCATGCAACATACAAATTTGATAGCGTTCATTTAAATGATGGTCCTGCACAACTTTTGTTCTTCATCGCTCACACCCTGATTAACTTCTAAATTTACTGGTTTATTATTCTGCAGCAAAAAGTAGGAGTGCTTTGTAGTTATTCTCGCTGCATCTAGATGAGTTGGCATTTGCTCTGTTTTGAAGTGAGATGCAATGAGTGTAAGGTGAACGATTCACTGTAATTCTGTGTGTTCCTTGGGATGTCAGGTCTAATATTTTCAGAAATATCTTAAGTACCATTTTGAAATATGAAGTTCAGCTCCTGTTGGTATCAGTTGTTCACTTCAGTGTATGTGTTCAGAACAATTCAAAGTCCAGCAGCCTACACCTGGACATCCAGACTATGAAGATTTTTATTTTTTTTTTCTTCCTATGCTGAGGCTAGTTCTAGCATTACAGAAGATCTAAGTGAATGAGTATAGGAGAGATGTGGATATCCAGGCTAGTATTTGCCACCTTCAACTATGAAGTTACTCCTCTTTTCCTGTGATCTCTGGTTTACTTCTCCTTGAGTCTTCCAGCTTGTGGAAAAGATCAGGCCATGAGCTTCAATTGAAGTATTGAAGTATAACTGTATAACTGAGGTTTCCTGAGAGCAGAATTTGAATGCTACTTGGCATGGTGGGATTCAATTTGTGTATTTCAATACAACTATAATATTTTTTTACTAGGTAACAAAACTTTTCTTGTATAGAGCTGATGTTGAATGTTCTCTGAGTCATTCAGTTTGGTTTTTGGTGGTTTTTCATTTGGTTTTGGTTTGTTTTTTGTTTGGTTTTTCTTTTTTTCAGAACTGCTGTTATTTTTGCAAACAATAGCAGTATTTGGCAGAAGTATAGCAATTGTTCATTCAAAACGAGAATAGATTTCTGATGGAGGGCTTCTTGCTGTACTCACTGTGTGTATTTAAGCCTACAACTTATTTCTAGAAGTTGCGATGATGTGCTGCCCCCCCAGCCCCGCCACTTTATCTCCTGTAACCCTGCCCAAGCAATAACCACCTGTGGTGATCATAATGGGTGCATCTAGTTACAATGGCTGCATCCAGCTCAAAGTGGTTTCAGGGAGATGAATAACAACACAGTAGTCAAGGGCTAATTTGAGAAATGCGCCCACCTAACTACAATACCGGCACTGTGGTCGATATGCAAATATGACTATAAGTAAATCATCTTACCCCCATAAATAGTGAACAGCCCAAGAGCCCTTTGAGCTCTCCTGCATGGCAGAAGGCTGCACGCCACAATCTCCCCTTGAGTAGGGATGCCTCTCAAGGTTACTTTTTGAGACGCAGAGACTCCTTGCCGCAACAGATCCTTGGTAAGTGACTGATAGCACGCTAAACTTTGAAGCTTCATTATGATTATATCTTGGAGTGACTGTGCACATATAATCCTTTAGACATAAACCGTTGACCAAGTCTGGGACTGGGATTGGATCCAGCTGGACCTAGACTCCTTTCTGAGGAGTTTAGAAAGCAAGGGGATCCTCTCTGAACCTCATGACTCAATGGGAGGATCTCCCTGACGGTTTTGTCTGACCCTGCTCTATGCAGTAAATAACCAAGTGTGCCTTGCCATCGAATCTTGTTAAACCACTGTCACATTTACTATCAAACTTTGTTAAATCGCTGTTTTGTATCAATAAATATATTGTTGTTTTTCTCTACGAGTGAAGTGCATCACTCCATTTGGGACAGAAGTAAGATTTTGATGTAGTAAGCTTGTTTGGCTCAGCATATGTTTCCTGTCATTCTTATTAGTGTTAGAATGTCACAATAGCTGTTTGAAGAGATCTAAGAAACTTTTTTCCCTGGTCTTCTCTAAAACACTCAGAAAAAAGGCTTTCTTTCATCAGGTATTTATCATTGTTTGCATATCTTATTTCTAAGTATAGACTAATCTTCTGAATTATTCTCTCACCCGATGACCCCTCCCCACCAAAGGGAATTGGGAGGAAAAAAAACAAGGAAACCCGAGGGTTGAAATATAAACAGATTTAATAGAATAAGATTAGATAGTTAACACTAATAACACTAAAGAACCAATATTGATCCCAATACCGATACAGAATATACAAAGATTATACTCAGCCAATTATATCAGTCGGAAGCTGTGCCCTCTGTTGCGTTAAAGGGCAAAGTAATTTGGCAGAAAATAAACCCCCTTGCATTCCAGCCTGTATCAGAGGGGCTGGGGGCGGCTAAGCTTAGATTCTGAGTGATGCCCAATTCGGCGTTAAAAGTCCGGTTGCGTTCAATATGTCAATTGAACTATCACGATTACGGATGCGCTAATAACACCATACACAATTTGATCTAGTGGCATTCCATGAACTAGCATGACCACACTTAAGGATTTGGGTCATGCTATCTGCCTTGCATTCCAAAGTGCTGCTACATTTCCCCCTTTTTTGTTTTATGCCGACGATCGCAAAGCCAAAGCAGCTATCACTCTTGCTTCTGTCTTTTGCATGCTGCAGATGGTATTCCCCCGATCGCGTTGGTATCTTGCCTGGCATCCTTCCTCTCTTAAGCTATTTTTATACTATTTTTTACCTTTCAGGTGGAGCTTGAGGGACTCTAGTCATACATACTTTTGCTTTGATTGGTGTAAAATTCTCTCGCTTCGCTTTTAAAGGTATAGACTACGAAAAATTCAGAGCACAGACTCCGTGGGGAGTGGTCGCACCTTGGAGGCGGGTAGCTTTCTGGATGGAGGTGTGTTTTGGTATTATAATGACATTATAATGAGCAAAGGTCACCCAAAGGATAGCATTTTATCAAAAAATGACAGATCGTTGGCTCAGGGTAACAATTAGGCAGCTTATCAGGTCCATAAGACCTTCAAGGGTTCCATTTTATCACAGAGTATGGCCACGGTGTCTCCACTCTGCTCCATCCTCCACACCGTTTTTCTTAGAGTTAGCGCACCGGACTCCCCCAATGTCATTAACATCTAAGGTTGCCTCGGGAGCCTTTATGAAATGTATCCTTTGCACACCAGCTGCACTCTGTCCCTGGAAGTTTCATCGATGCTGTACTTTTCTTCAAAATGTGAATATAATTTCTAAGTCACCTCCAGTAATTATCCCACACTCTCCCAGCAGTGGACAGCAAATGTTGGACACTGCAAGCGCCACAGCTTTGGGAGGAAGGGAAGGCCTCAGGGGTCCAGCATCGGGGCAAGAAGTTCTCGGGATCACTGCCATTAAAGAAGAGAGCACTTTGCAGTAAACTTTCTAATTTATACTGAATGTGATGTTCATGGTATGAAATAATCCTGTTGGCCAGCTTGGGTCAAATGCTCGGGTCTCGCTCCTCCTCATCCCCACACGTGGCTAACTCAAAAACACTGAGACCTTGAAACCCACATACCTTAGCTGGCTATAAAGTATTTTCACCAGTTCAGTCACTAGAGTCTTCTAAAAATGCAGTTTTCCCAAGCATTAGAAGACTACTGAAAAGTAAAGTTACCGAAAGAGGAATTAGTCCTGTGTTGCTCAAACCAGGACATTTATTGAGAGCTGTGTTAATCTAGTTTTGTAAGAAGCTCAGGATGGAATGATGTCATTTTGGGGACAGAGAGAGAGGTGGATATTTACAGGCTTTTTTTAGTGAAAACAGACTTTTTTAGAGTTTTATATGATATAATGATATGTGTTGACTCGTTGCTTGTATACATATGCATACATTTACTGAACTTTTTTTCTCTTCTAGGATCCTTCTGTTACACAAGTGACAAGAAATGTTCCTCCAGGGCTAGATGAGTACAATCCTTTCTCTGATTCAAGAACAGTAAGCACAGTTATTTATTAATAATGCTGTTAATCTTTTTAGGTAACATTTGTGGGGTATTGTTTTTAGAGTTTGGGACTGATGTAAAACATACATACTAGGGGACAAGAGGCTGGAGAGCAGCCCCGTGGAAAGAGATCTAGGGGTTTGGGTTGATGGCAAGTTGAATATGAGTCAACAGTGTGCCCTGGCAGCCAAAAGGGCCAACCGGGTCCCAGGGTGCATCATGCACAGCATAGCTATCTGGTCAAGGGAGGTGATTGTCCCCCTCTACACTGCACTGGTTTAGCCCCGCCTCAAGTACTGTGTGCAGTTTTGGGTGCCTCAATATAAGAAGGACATGAAACTACTAGAGTGCGTCCAGAGGGGGACGACCAAGGTGGTGAAAGGTCTTGAGGGCAAGACTTATGAGGAGTGGCTGAGGTCACTTGGCTTGTTCAGCTTGGAGAAGAGAAGGCTGAGGGGTGGCCTCATTGCAGACTACAACTTCCTCAAGAGGGGCAGCGGAGGGGGAGGCGCTGATCTCCTTTCTCTGGTGACCAGTGATAGGACATGTGGAAATGGAATGAAGCTGCATGAGGGGAAGTTCAGATCAGACATTAGGAAAAGGTTCTTCACTGAGAGGGTGGTCGGTCACTGGAACAGGCTCCCCAGGGAAGTGGCCACGGCACCAAGCCTGTCAGAGTTCAAGGAGTGCCTGGACAACACTCTTAGTCATATGGTTTAGTTTTATGTAGTCCTGCGAGGAGCAGGGAGTTGGACTCAATGATCCTTATGGGTCCCTTCCAACTTGAGATGTTCTATGTCAAGGGATAGCTAGAGGTAATGGAAGATGTGTAAGGATAGGTAGTCCCATAAAGTATTTGTAGGATTCAGTGGGTTGGTTGACTTAAATGAGCTTTGACCCCTTAAGGAAAGGTGGCTCCCTGAACAGGTGCCAAACCAGAATTGAGTTTTTCCTCTGTTCAATAAGACTTCTGGTAGTCTGTCTTTAAAGCAAGTAAAATTTAGAAGAACATAAAGTGTGTGAATGTGGCACGCTTCCTCAGTGTCTTGCTTTTGATTTCCATTGTGCTTATGAAAGTGCTGTTCAGAATAAGAAACATTGCATTTAAGTAACAGTCCACAGGCTATGAATAGTTGCGCTGTACTAAAAGGAATGATTTATATCTGAGAAATACAGTTGTTTTTTGCCTCTAATTTGTAAAGTTTTAATTTACTTTGTGCTTATTTTCACCTGGAGGGGGGGAATACAAGGAATGGGGTAGTAAATTCATACTGTAACAGCATTTCTCAGTGGTTACTTTTGATAGTGAAGATCTTGTGCAAGATCTGCAAAATGTATGGATGATTACTGTCTGTCAGTATAGTTTATAAACTTTCAAATACTATATTTTTCAAACACAGGCTTATATTTCCTATGGCAAGTCTGGTAGTACCGACAGGGAATGCTGGTATTTGAGTCTTTGCAATGCAACAGTAAGTTGTTGGGTTTTTTTTGTGGTTGTGTTTTTGGTTGGTATTTTTTTAGCTAGCAGCAATATCAAGTCTCCAAATTTTTTTTTTCTCCTAACTCACAATACCACAAATTGTATTTGATGTATTTTTTCTGAAGCTTGAAGAGTTTCAAAATTGCGTTGTACAGACAATAAGTTATAAATGTTTAAAAACAGTAGGTCTTGTTTAAGAAAAAATAAATCTAGAGCTACTCTGACTTTTTTTATTACTTATCTACTCATTTTAACATGCAGCTCTGTGGGAAAAGGTAAACTGAAGTATATGGCTAAGGTTATCTGGCTTCTAACAGTCAGCTGTGCATATATAAAAAATTCTAATTGCTCAGTACAGATGTCGCTCATACAAAAATTGGGAGGATGGGGGAAATCTTGAAGTTGGTGTTCAGATCTACTGAATATGTGCAATGTTCATGCACTGTGATTCAATTAATCTATGGAATATTGCCAAATTCATAAAAACTGTTTATTGAATGAGCAGTTCTTTCTGCAGAGGAAAAAAGGAACTTTTTCAGGCTTTCTTTTCAGTAAAGTATATATTCAGCTAAGAGTCCAGTAATAATCAACCTTTAGATTATACTCCCTTTCCTCTTTCCGTATCTTGTGGATGCTGAATATGTAAAGAAGCATTCCATAATTATATGCATTTGCAGGAATGTGGTTAGATACCTGAGGGTACGCTCACAATTCCATGTGCTCACCTCTTTTCCTACTAGCTTTGTGTGCAAGAGAAGGGCATACTATGTATGTACAAATGTATGCAACAGGAGTAAGGGAAGATAAAGTGGAATTGAATGCCTTTAAAGATTCGATGAACAGAGGTAGAAATCAGGGTCTGTGAATATTAGACTTGGAGGATTACAATGCCTATCAAGGTAGAGATATAAATTACTCTGTATTTTGTGTGCTGCTCAGAGCAAAACCATCCAGGTGGTTTCTCGGGGCTTTGATTTGCTGCTGTTCCTTGTTCTGCCTTTGTTGGGAAGCTGAGTCATCTTGAACAGTTTTGTGCAGGTAATCCCACTTCTAACATTTGAAAACCTTAATGGCACCAGCAAGCAGAAAGGATATATGCTGGTAGTAAAATATGTCCTGGAGATTTGTGCTCTTCAGTTTGAGAATCACTGGCCTGTAAGACTTTAAATGATGTTTGTGTTTCACTACGAGTAGCAGTGTGTAGTTGTAGTTTTTAAGGAAGTTGAGAATGGTGTGCTTCAATACATCTTAGCTAATGCTAAGATGGTATCTTACAGTCTATAGCATTAACACAGCATTAACCTTCTTCCCCCCTTCCCTCCAAATTCAAGTTAATAAAACAGTCTGGACTGCACAAATATTTCTTCTCTGCAAATCCAGGCAGGGGTACAGGGGTATGTTTCTTCTGTGAGAAAGTGACTTCAAACTCTGAATACTGACATTGATTGTCTTAGCTCAGTTGTGTTCTCCCCTTACCAAGGGAGATGCTGCCTATCAATTCTTTCTTGATTATCAGGATAGGACAGGGGGAAAAAAAAAAAAGTAAATTGTATTTTATCCCCCCCCCAATATTTTTTTTTTTTTTTTTTAGATATTTCAGTGCATTCACCTTTTCTCTGTCAACTTACATATTTCACATCTGCAGCGGGAAATTTGGTAGGAAAATAACATATAAGACATAATGAAGAAAATGAATGGGCATAGGAGACTAGGTCTCAAGTGTGTCACCACCTTGATCTCTAACATGAGAAATCAGGAGTTTCTTTTTTGGCTTCTTATCAAATTTCAAAGCTTGTCTTATTTTTGATTGTTAAACCAAACAGAGTTTTCAGTGAACGGTATAAATGTCAGACTAAATATCATTGCCTGCATCTTCAGTGCTTTTGTCTCCAGCTCTAACAGTTGCCATGGAGAGGGCGTTGTGTCTTTTTTCATGTTTCTGAAAACAAGAACAGATGAGATTAGACAATTAGTATTTCTGCTTCATCATTTAATGAAACTACTGTCAAAGAAGGCTTTTAAACTCTTCCAGCTTCTACAAGTATTGCTAATGCAGGTTGAACTCCTTTGGGCACTGTGTGTATATATGTATAACGTGTAGACACAATAATGCATATAGCATGCACTTTCAAATTGATACATCAGAACTTTGGAAAAAAATATTACTAGAGGTGGGTGGGTTTTTTTTGTTGTTGTTGGTTTTAAGAGGCATATTTCAATGGATTTTTTTCAGTAAATTCCTGGACAACTCCTCTCCTTCTGTCTTGCATCCACACACAGTGAAGTGTTTATCGGAAATAAGATTGATCAGCTACACCTGGCTTCCTTTGGAAGTCTTCCCCCCCCCTATTCCTGGTGAATAAACTACTTCACCCACATGGGAAAATCTATTCAAGAGAGAACTTCTTCTGAGTATTTATCTCCAGCCAACCTCTTCTCTTCAGGAGAGGTCATACTAATTTGCTTTTTCTCCTAGTGCGACTGTGACAGCAAGGCATGAAATAAAAAGATCTATTCCAGACGTACAATTTGGGGTAGGGACAAAAAGGGGTGCTGTAGAGAGAGGTTAGTTAAATTCAAGATATAAGTATCTTGCTGTAATCTGTCAGTGAGGGTCAAAGACCATGGATCTGTGACGTAAAGTCTCTAAAAAAACAGTTGACTTGGTTCCCCTGGCCGAATGTGGGTGGTATATCATGATATGATATGATATTATTCAGTGATGCCTGGAGGTTATTGCAGTCCTCACAATACAAGTCTGAGCAATTAGTGTTAGAGTTAAACCCTTAAAAAAAACAGAATTGCCAACTATCTGTCTTGCTGCGAATGTCTTGTCAATCCTATCTAGGCTGTAAGTCAGTCAGGTGTCTCTCTTCTATATCCAAATCCCTAAGCCACCAATAGCACTTGGAAAGGCAACCAACACCCCATTGACAGACATATATGACAAAATAAGTGCCAAGTCATAGGTTGCAAGGGACCTATGGAGGTTATCTTTTTCAATCTCTGGTATTCATAGTCAGTCACTATGTCACATTGCTCCAGCATCTTGTTCTGGTGAGTTTTGAATATATTCAGGGATGGAGATCCTGTGACCTCACTGGGCAACCTGTCCCAGTGTTTGGCAGTTCTTGCAGTGATTTTTTTCCCCCTAATATCTAGTTAAGTTTGTTGTGTTCCCAAAAGTAATGTGCTGTGTGATAAAAGCAGCATCATCTTTTCCCTGCAATCCCATGTGTATGCTGATCAATAAGGGAGTTAAGATGTATCTGTTTCATTTCTTATACATAGTAAATTATGTATCAATTAGGGCAGAATTCTACAGCATTGGCCTAAATATGTGGATAAGACAGTCTTTCTGTCAGGGTTTAGGCCAGACTGGCCACTGAGGCAAAATGACAGATGCTCTCCCCTGCCTCTCTCTCCAAGGAGAGGATGGAGAGAGAAAGAGACTTATGAGTTTAGAAGGAACTAAACTACTTATTTATTTCCTTTTAATAAGATATTAATAATAAAATAATAAATCAATGAATGAAATATATACAAAACCGTATCAAGCTCCCAGGCTTGAGAGGTGGGCCCATGCAAACCTCATGAAGTTCCACAAATACAGGCTCAGTGGGGTACGGCTGGAAAGCAGCCCTGAGGAGAAGGACCTGGGTGTGCTGATTGACCAGAAGCTCAACATGAGCAAGCAATGTGCGATCGCAGCCCAGAAGGCCAACCGCATCCTGGGCTGCATCAAAAGAAGCGTGGACAGCAGGTCAAGGGAGGTGATTCTGCCCCTCTACTCCACTCTCGTGAGACCCCACCTGGAGTACTGCGTCCAGCTCTGGAGTCCCCAACATAAGAAGGACATGGACCTGCTGGAGCATGTCCAGAGGAGGGCCACGAGGATGATCCGAGGGCTGGAGCACCTCTCCTGTGAGGACAGGCTGATAGAGGGGGCTGTTCAGCCTGGAGAAGAGAAGGCTCCAGGGAGACCTTATTGCGGCCTTCCAGTACCTAAAGGGGGCCTATAGGAGGGCTGGAGAAGGACTTTTTACAAGGGCATGTAGTGATAGGACAAGTTGGGCAACCTGGTCTAGTGGGAGGTGTCCCTGTCCATGGCGGGGGGGTTGGAATTTGATGATCTTCAAGGTCCCTTCCAACCTAAATCATTCTTTGATTCTATGACGATCACGTCACCAGCAGGCACGGGGAAAGTCCCAGACTGGGCTCAGTGATGGATGGGAACTGGTTTCCAGATCTGGATTCAGGAATGCAGGGATCGGGATCAAAGGCAGATGAATAAACAGAGTACTCCTTGGATGATGGCCACTGAATAAAGAGGGCTGACCCTTTGATCCCTCAAAGCTCTGAGGAAAAAGTTGTAGAACAACTTGGGAAATTTTTTTCCCCAAACTGGGAAGCTTTCACCATCTTTACGGTTGTAAGAGTACTAATAGAAGATAATGATGTTGGAAAAAGCCAAATCAATTGTTTCTTTACAAGGTAAGTGTCTTGAACTTGAATTCGTAATTGAATAGGCTTTAGAGAAGCAGTAACTTGCTGGAAACAGGTAGTATTCAGCTGAGTGTTAAGAAAACTATAATGGAAAATTGCTAAAGCATGAACTAGAATGTACCTCGGCTGGTCTTATACTAGAGGAAGGGAAAGTGATGGCTGGCCTACTTGGTATAGAAAAAGCTCTTAAAAGGATTCAAGAAGTTAAGAGGCCAGAAGGTACAAGTTATTTACTGGACAAATAGAAGGGAATGGTGGGGAAGTCTGCTAATCATAAATGTTTGTTGGTTGGTTGGGTTTTTTGTTTGTTTGGGGCTGGTTTGTTTGTTTTTAGCAGAACTGTACACATACAGGGGCTTTAACCTTCAAACAGACATGGAAGTTGCCTTGACTGCTGAGTCATTCCTGCATTAAGTAACGGACTGCAGTGTGCAGATCTGACAACATGAGACTCGGGGCAGCTGCTTCCTTGCACTGCAGTGCTTGAAGAAATAAGTCTGGAGTGTCCTCCTTCATGTTACTATAGCAATATGGCTGTATGGTTTGGGGGGGGTGGGGTGTGAGGCCTGAAGGAAGATCACAATCCCAGTCATATTATTACAGAGTATCCAAAGGGCCAATTAATTCCTAATCATGTACTATCCTTGAAAAAGTCACGATAGCCTTTCAGTTGCAAACCTCCATGGTGGTCATGACTGTCCAAATATTCAAGTCAGTCATACTGGTTACTGTAAGAATATATGGAATGTGAGAGCATCTGTTTCATTAAGGTTATAGACCTTTTCAGTTCAAAGGGAGTAATAAGTAACAGGGAAAGTGATAAACAAAACCAGACAGAAACACAAACCAGATAAGTGATAACAGAGACATAAAGTAAGAGTAAAACTCTTCAGCCACTAATTGATGGGCCATTAAGAAACAGCAGGTATAGCTTTGAAGAGGTTCAACCCGGACTTTGTACCTGATAAGAAGGGCGAAAGGAGATAAACATGAATATTATGGATAGTTGAGGGGAGCCTGTGGGGCTATGCAAAATTTATTAAGGAATGGTTAGGGGAATAGTCAAAGGAACAATTGGGGACTAGGGAGGAACAAGGAGGAGACTAGCGAAGAGAATGGATAAAAGGGGCTGGTTGCATGTAAGTTGCTACCAGTCAGTACACTTGTCTGACAGAGCTATGCATCTAATCACTGCAGTTATTGTTAAATCCTTTCTTAACTATCTTTCTGTGAAATTTCACTCTATACCATCTGTGAGTGCTGCAGGGTCTAGGTGCCAGGAACTGGAGATACTAGAGTGAGTGAATTAGGTGCCAGCAATTTGGTCAGACCCCAGGTAGTAGTGGTCTGTATGCCTGCAGTGTCAACAACTGAGTATTGTATTAAGGTTTAGGTTGTAAGGGATCTTTAAGATCATCTAGTTCCAACCCCCCTGACATGGACAGGGGCACCTCCCACTAGACCAGGTTTCAAAGCCCCATTCAACCCGGCCTTGAACACTTCCAGGGATGGGGCCTCCACAACTTCCCTGGGCAACCTGTTCCAGTGCCTCACCACCCTCAAAGTGAAAACTTTCTTCCTAATATCTATTCTAAATCTACCCTCTTCCAGTTTAAAGCCATTCCCCCTCATCCTGTCACTATGTGCCCTTGTAAAAAGTCCCTCCCCATCTTTCTTGTAGGCACCCTTCAGATACTGGAAAGCTGCTATAAGGTTTCCCTGGCACTTTCTCTTCTCCAGGATGAACAACCCTAACTCTCTCAGCCTGTCTTCATAGGAGAGGTGTTCCAGCCCTCTGATCATCTTTGTGGCCCTCCTCTGAGGGGCCTCCTCCGAGTATCTCGGTGTCAGCAGCTGGAGGGACCGTGGGTCATAGGGCCTATGTGTTTGGGGTGCCAGCAACTGGAGGGACCAGTATGTTTTCCTCTGTGTGTATGTGTAATTTATATATATGTATGTGTTTTCCTCTGTTTGTGTACATGTGTAATTCACTAGCAAACTTTAAGCTGGACTAGCTGGCAAATAGAAGGAAATCCTGTCTCTGGGAATACTCAAAGTCTGAGCCAAAAGCGAGTAAGGGAGTCCAGGGTCTGGGCCTAGATATATGGCAAGCTGAGAGCCCATGCTGGTGTTTGAGGGAGCTGCGAGGGTGGGGAGACGCTTGCGAGATTAGTGTTTGAATGCATGAATCTGCCAGTGAACATCAAGCTGGCTTAACTGGCAAACAGGAGGAAACCTGTATACTAGGTAAGAGGGCCCCAGATCCAGGCAGGTATATCAGACGGGCTGAGAGCCCATACTCACATCTGAGGGATCTGCAGTTGTTGGTTGCACCGGGCTGAATAGCATGGACTCAGCATTGTGAACCACGGCAAAGTTTATTAGCATGTGCAGCTATAATATAGTTACAGATATGGATCTCAACTATGTAGCCAAACAGGTTGTTCACGTCCTTTGCACTCTTTGTTCCTCACAACATCCAATCACACACAACCAGTGTTCTGGTCATGCTCTTTTCCCATGCACACACACAGAGCTGTGTACTTTTGAACTCCTGTTATGGTCTGGCTGAGGTCTATTTCTACTTCTTATTATGTCTTCGTTAACTGTTTCTCAGGCCCGTTAACTGCTTCTCAGGCCCGTCGACGATGCTGCTATCTGCCTTGCATTCCAAGGTGTTGCCACAGTTGGTGTGCTTGTAAATCTGGAGAGTGAGGCATGTGTTTTTCAATAGTGAACTTCAGTGCCGGAGAGGAATGAGACATGAGTCTGTGTACCTATATTTTATGTAGTTCTGATAGTGTTATGTGGGGGTGTTGTTAAAGATAGTGCCCTGCCTGTGGCAGCTTGTGTAGCTGGCTGTCCTAGTGTCCTTGGTATGTGTGGTTGTGCATGTATTTGTGTGCATCTCTGGGATATGCACTCAACCTTGCTACTAGCCGAACCTGGAAACAGGAAAGCAGCAGCTGTATCCATAGGCCTCGGACGGAGAGACCTCAGAGGGTCTGAAGGTGTGCTGGACTAGGCTCCAGCAGTTGGAAAGGTCCCCAGGTCTCAGAGTCCACTGGATGAGGTAGCTTTTATAACATCTCTTAACAGCTTTTGTCCCCCAGCCCCTCTTGACTTAGGATTGCAGGATGCACAGCCCCTGCTACAAATCACTGCTTTAGTCTCTCTTATTCTAGGGAGCACAGGCTCTTACCTAGGCATGTGCATAGTGGACAGCAGTTCTAACATTGTATAGGTGGCCAGCTAGCATATAGTGGAACCTAAACAATGCAGAAATCTGAATCCAAAGAATCTTGTACATAATTAGTTCCTTATATTAATGTCATCTATCATATATGCCATTGGCTAGCATCTTTGATTATGTATCTCTAATGAGCTTTCTGATCAGTTCCTTTATTCATAAACGCATGCATGTTCCAGTCATTAGCAGCACTGCAGGCTGTTTGGACAAAGTGCCTTTCAAGGATAAGTATCTTTGAATTCATCGTTCAAATATTTTCTAGTCTGCTAATCCAACTTTAAGCACTATTACAGGTGTCTGTGAAGGGCTACTGGAGTCCTTACTGGAGATTGTGGGCAGTCAGTTGCTCATTAGTCTAGCAGGCAGCTGCTTGGCAGTTATGCTTTCAAAGCTATATTGTTACTTTAGACACAGAACTACAATAATGAGACTTTTCTGAGGCTTTTGTAGCATTGCTCTGGCCTACAATTCATAACGCATAGAGTTTTTGTTCAGTAGCTATTTGTTACTCTGGTATAGTGTTTGTATCTTATGTTTGAAGCAGATGATAAGACTCTTGATGGTTGTCTAGTTTTTGTAGGAGTTCTCTTACAAGAGGCCTTTGTCCTTATCATAGAACACTGACATAAGGAATAGCAGTACTAACTTATTAGGAATAAGTGGTTCTCTGTCTTAAAAGATCACAGAATGGGGAAGTCTTTCATGTTGCAAGCTCTACACATAGAAAGATGTGAATTGTAGTTTTCTCTCAAGCATATTTAAGAATAAAACAGCATCATAGTAGGGTTATACTGATCTGCTTTGGTAAAGTTCAGTTGATAACTTATCTAGGCAGTAGTAATTTCCTTGGTTTGATAGGTACTGGTTAATATTGTGTATGATAGAGAGATGTGGAGAAAGTCAGAGGAGATGACAAACAGGAATAAGCAGGAGAGGATTGGAGGTGGGGGGACCAAACCAAAAAAACAAAATCGCAAAATTGAAAAAAACCTGAGCTACTAAAAGCTTCTTGCAAGATGTGTTCTTATAGGTAACGACCAAGAGACCGAATTGCTACTGGTAAAACTAGATACAGTACATACCGGTGGAATAGTTTAGCAATAGATTGTGGATACTCAATTAGAAAATTTAATATCGTACATTGCTTCTCTAGTTAACCAGGTGATATAAGCCTTTGTTAAGTAGAAAGCTTTGGAAGAAATTACTAATAAATTACATTATGTTTGACAATATGAATAGTCACTGTTAAATCCTGCAGTTCTCAAACAATAACTGTCCTTCTTCATATTCCTGTCTGAACAAAATTTACTTTCTACTGATCCATAAAATTCCATGTGTGTTTATAGCAAGTAGTGCAGTGTAAAAACAAACAGAATATAGTTATATATAATAAAGCACCACAGAATATAGTTATCTTCTTTTTCCTAAAGGTTATAAGTATTGCAGGCAGCATATCAGATTTCCAGTTTATCAGTAACACTTCCTTTAAAACAACTGGATTAGTTCTTACAGAGTTAATGAAAAGATGTTTATTAGGATAGGAGACTGTTTCCCTATAAAATGTTTCTTGTTTTCTTAGCCTCCAGGAAATGCGAAAATGCCTAATGTACCCAGTACCCAGCCAGCAATAATGAAACCAACAGAAGAACCACTTGCTTACACACAAATTGCAAAGGTTTGTCTATAACTTTCAGGCACTAGGTTCCTTTCAATTATAATAATATAAATACACTTCTGGAATAGTGTCTTTTATAAATAAGAATTGCTTTCCTGATGATTTATGAAAACTAATACTGCCTTTAAGTAATCAGTTACTGCATGAATTCGTGTAATATTAGGTCAGTCTTCATCTATAACTGGAGATACTTAATTATGGAAAATAGACTTGGAATATTTATGTTGTGTTTGTTTTTTTTTATCAATAACTAATGATGCTTGTTTTGTTCAGGATCATGCCTCGGCCCAGGCAGAACTGCTAAAGCGTCAAGAAGAACTGGAAAGAAAAGCAGCTGAACTAGATCGCAGAGAAAGGGAAATGCAGTGCCTCAATCAGCAGGGGGGTATGCATGAAAAAATACTTTTTTAAATTGCAGAAATTTCACTTTTTCTTAGAAACTGTTTTAGTTTTACAGTGACATTGTGAAACAGATCAAAGAGGGGTTTTTATAATCTCTTCAGGAAAAGAAAATTTATCTCCTTTGGGACAATGCATACAGTGAATAATAACTGGCCTGGCCTGTGCAGATTTTCACAGCAAAAATTGTAATTGTGGCCTATGTTACATGTTACTCTGCTACCAGATATTTTTATTCTAGGTTAATATCCAAGTAATACTATTGAATAGAAATGGAGCAGTTTGAGAAGAAGTAAAAGTAACTTCATAAGTAACATCTCTTTATCTTTTGTCAGTATTTATAGCTGTAGGAGAATTTTCCTGTTTTGAAACATTTTCTTGTCTTTTGCTATGTTACAGACACAATATTCTATGCAAATAGCAGAAAGAATTATTCTATTATTAATATTTTGTTATTTTTTCATATGTGTCCTGGTTCTGGCAGGGATGGGGTTAATTTTCCCAAGGAGCCAGCAGGGGATACAGGTATTCCATGCCATGTGACCCATGCCCAGGTTGGCAGGGGGGAGCTAGCCGGGGGAGGGGGCAGGAAGTCGAGGCGGGGAGCGGGCTGCCGCGGTCTGGGTCCGGTCGGGAGCGGCGGCATTGTAATAGCGTTCGTATATTCCTTTACTGGTGTTATTGTTATTGTTTTCTCTTGGGTTTTTTTTTTTTTTCTGTTCCTTTAAACTGCTTTTATCTCAACCCACGAGTTTCTGCCTTATTCCTTCTGATTCTGCCCACGGCTGTGGGAGTTGCGCGAGCGGCCGCGTGGTTCTTTGTTCCCGGCTGGGGCCAAACCACGACAATATGATACTTTGGAACCCTTAATCAAGATCCGTATATCATTTTGCCACAAACTGTATGTGTGCTGTGTGAAACCATCAGTTTTCTTACTGCAATTTCACAGATGAGAAGATTTAGATCCTCTTAACTGAAGATACTTTGCTAGAAGTAGATCTATGGGAATATTCCTTTTCAAAAGGAAGAACTTCAGACTGAAGTTAGAAAAAAACCTAAGCTAAAACAAAAAAACCAAAACACTATGTGCAAGGTTGACTTTGTGTGATCTTTTCACTTGTATCTAGAATTGACTGTTGTATTTCCATATGTGCTGTGTTGTTTTTTTTTTCTCCTGTGGAAATAGGAATATAGAGCGGTATGATTCCAGATTGCATAATTGCTTAGTAATTCAAATTCTCAGGGAACTTTATGCCAGTCATATGCTGGGATCTGGGAATGGGGAATTGCTATTCTTCTTCTAAGGAAAAGAATCACGGTGATATTGTCCCTACATTAAACCCTTTTTATTTTCTCAGTATTTATTCTTTTCAGTCTCTTTATTACAGAATCACAGAATCACAGAATGGTTAGGGTTGGAAGGGACCTCTGGAGATCATCTAGTCCAACCCCCCTGCCAGAGCAGGGTCACCCACAGCAGGTTGCACAGGACAGCGTCCAGGCGGGTTTTGAATGTCTCCAGAGTGGGAGACTCCACCACCTCTCTGGGCAGCCTGTTCCAGTGCTCCACTACCCTCAAAGTAAAGAAGTTCCTTCTCATGTTAAGATGGAACTTCCTATGTTCAAGTTTATGCCCATTACCCCTCGTCCTATCACTGGGCGCCACTGAAAAAAGACTGCTCCCATCCCCCTGGCATCCTCCCATTAAGTATTTGTAAGTATTAATAAGATCCCCCCTCGATCTTCTTTTCTCTAGACTAAAGAGACCCAAGTCCCTAAGCCTTTCTCCATAGGAGAGATGTTCCAATCCCCTAATCATCTTCGTTGCCCTTTGCTGGACCCTCTCCAGCAGTTCCCTGTCTTTCTTGAACTGGGGAGCCCAGAACTGGATGCAGTACTCCAGATGCGGCCTCACCAGGGCAGAGTAGAGGGGGAGGATGACCTCCCTCGACCTGCTGGCCACACTCTTCTTGATGCACCCCAGGATGCCATTCGCCTTCTTGGCCGCCAGGGCACATTGCTGGCTCATGGTCATCCTGTTGTCCACCAGGACTCCCAGGTCCCTCTCCACAGAGCTGCTCTCCAGGAGGTCAGCCCCCAACCTGTACTGGTGCATGGGGTTATTCCTCCCCAGATGCAGCACCCTACACTTGCCCGTGTTGAATTTCATCAGGTTTCTCTCTGCCCAACTCTCCAGCCTGTCCAGGTCTCGCTGTATGGCGGCACAGCCTTCTGGCGTGTCAGCCACTCCTCCCAGTTTTGTGTCATCAGCAAACATGCTGATGGTACACTCTATCCCTTCATCCAGATCATCGATGAATATGTTGAACAAGACTGGGCCCAGTACTGACCCCTGATGGACACCACTTGTTACTAACCTCCAACTAGACTCTGCACCATTAAATCTGTACCTCTTCTCCCAGGCAGTGATTTTTTTGTTGTTGTTGTTTTTTCATTTCCTTCTCCATATATTGCTCTTGATCTAATTTCACTACCTTATATTGATGGTCTGGATTGATTACTTGTCTCTTCCAGGCTTCAGGGACAGTTTTGTTCATCTATATTGTAGGGAACATAACTCTGATACCCCATGCATGTTTCAGGATATTTCTAAAATGGGTATTTACTGTGTTATTAGGTTACAGTTGTTCACATCAAAGTGCTTGAAGAGTCCATGAAGAGTCTAAAGGATTCTTTAGGAAGGCTGAATGGAGAAGAGAGAGCTCTTAAAGGTTTAAAGAGGATATTGGGTTTTTGCCAAATGACTGTGTAAAAGATGCTGCAAATCAGAAATTGTATGTTGTGACTTAGGAGAACAGTATTCTTTTCCTTCTGATTTCTTTTTTCTTTTGCACACTCATTCAAATTCCTTTGGAAAACTGTAGAGAAGTTTTGATTGGAGGGCAAGGTCTTTTGCAACAGTACTCTAGCTATTTGTATTCAATTTAAAATGCTGGCTGCACATCTAGGACACTGTTGATGCCTTTGGTCTTCTCTGCTCAGGTCCTGTGCAGTATTGCACTTGAGCTTATTAAAGTATGCTGCTTCCTATGTCAGCTAATTCATTTGGGCGTGCCTGAAAATCCTTTTCTAGGCTTGCATGAAGCTGCATTCATAGTGTAGGCATGCCACTGAAGTTATGTTAATAGGCCTTGAGATGGTAACTTGTGTGGAATGAAATAACTAGCTAGCTCTTTGCTTATCAAGATGCAGTCTTGGAATATGAGTATCCAAAGTGTATTTAGAAAAAGGCCACTTGGTTTTTGATCTCAAAGCATCTCACCAAGCTGTCTTTCAGTCTTAGTTGAAAATTTTGAAACCTGTGCCACAGGGGTGGGAAAGCACATGAAATAAAATTCTTAAATAAGAACTCGAACTATTATAAGATATCTGATTTTTTTTTTTTTCTGTGACTCTGTCTTGAAACTGTTGGTCCTGAAAGAAATAACCATATACTGCAGAACGACAATCTGAATTATTATCAGATATTTTTCATATAGGAAATCCCAAATAAGTTTTTAGTATGGATGGGAATATTACTTGATTACCTTCTGTATGCTCCCTCTGTAAATCCCCTGCTCTAAAAGGCTTGATAAAAAATGTTCAGTGGAAGAGACAGAAAATTTAACAGATACTTAGTGCCTTGGACCTGTTTGGACAGAACTGTCAGCTTCATCTTGTCTGAGTGGTGAAAGAAATAAGAAACAATGCCAAGTGTGTAAGCTTTGCGAGTTTTCTGTTCTTACCAGATGAACTGCTAGTAAAGATATGGTTGAAGATAGAAATTGCAAGCAAAACCTTGTCAGAATTTCAAATAAAGGTGCCTTTAGGTTAGTCTCTAGTTCAGCTCCACTTTTGGAATACGGTGGTTAATGTATCTCTTGCATCCAGAATTTGAAATGGTATGGTAAAGGTTTGTTGTAGTTCTCTCAGTTGAATCTCTGAGTCTATGCTTGGTATGACTTGTGTTCAGCAGAATGTACGTTCTAGTCTGTAAGCAGATCAGCATACAGGAAATCCAAGTGTCTGATACTGTGTTGTCCTTTGTGGTGTCCTGACTCTGTCACACAACTGTATCAAAATATATTGATGCTGTCAGGCATCTTGGGGGGAAAAAAATAGTAGTTTAGACCATTTAAATAGCTGCCTTTCTTCAGGCTTATGGGCTTTTAGGTAAAGCTTTGACTGTAAACTGTATTGGGAACTAGTTCAAAGTGTTAGATATATCCAGGTGTTACAAATATCAGGATTCTGAGAATGAAGAATGTTTTTCAGTCCTCAGTCTTAGTGTTCCACAAAGTATGAGAGTATGGTGGGACTTTAGGAAATGTGCATTTAAAAGTCAAGGAACTGTGAGAAATTGGTTTGTGAAGAATTCTCTCTTCTCGTGACTTTATAGGAACTGTCAGATGCCTGATTAGTTTTTTACATATATAAAATATTGTACTGTCCTGGTTCCGGCAGGGATGGGGTTAATTTCCCCGAGAAGCCGGCAGGGGACACAGGTATTCCATGCCATATGACCCATGCCCAGGTTTTGAGGGGGGAGCTAGCTGGGGGAGGGGGCAGGAAGTCGAGGCTTGGAGCAGGGTGCAGCGGTCCGGGTGCAGCGGTCCGGGTCGGTCGGTGAGCGGTGGCACTGTAATCGCGTTCGTATATTCCTTTACCGGTGTTATTGTTATTGTTTTCTCTTGCTTTTGCTGTTTTGTTAAACTGCTTGTATCTCAACCCACGAGTTTTTGCCTTTTTCTTCCGATTTTGCCCGCGGCTGTGGGAGTTGCATGAGCGGCTGCGTGGTTCTTTGTTGCTGGCTGAGGCCAAACCACGACATGTACTTTCCTTAATCTGTCTGCACTTCGTTGTATTTTATTTCTGAAGTTTATTTTCAGTATTGTGTGAGGATTGCTGATAAAATTCTTGGATTTTGGTAGGCCAAGTTATCCATACGCTTAAACTTGTGCATAAAACAATTTGAACAAGTCCAAATACATATCTCTTTCTAGTATACAGAGATTAAAACTGTATTATAAAGCACTTCTTTTTTTTTTTCTTTTTTTTTTTCTGGTTTGCAGGTAGAAAAAATAACTGGCCACCTCTTCCTGAGAATTTTCCAGTGGGTCCATGTTTCTACCAGGACTTTTCTGTAGACATTCCTGTAGAATTCCAGAAGACAGTAAAGATTATGTACTATTTATGGATGTGTAAGTATTTAAAAAAAAAAAAAAAAAACCAACCCAACAACAAAGTGCTTATTCAAACGTGATGATACATACCTGCTACTTTGGCTTTTGCAACATCTGTAATGAGAAATTGTTTTAAATCCAGAAGTCAAATGTTGAAGTGAAATCTTTTTATTAGCTTCAATTTTGAAAGTATTGGATTATTTCATAGAAAATTCTGTAGAAAAAAAGGGGGAGGATTACCCTAAGGCAGTTTGGTTATAGTATATTGCAGTTTTCTGTTTAAAATATTTCACCATTTATTACATTAGAAATAATTTTACTGTTTTTTTTTTTTTAAATCAGCTTATATATTAAGAAATATAATTCACAATCAATTTTAATGGACTTGTGAGTTTAAGAAGCGTAATATCCATTTGCTTTATAATAGACAGTTTTATATAGTTTACCAGTTTTGGTCTACAGTGGAGGCAGTATCATTTTAGTCTATTAAAAAAAAAAAGTGTAAAGTAAATTAGCTGGAGAATCAGTCCATGTTACAACTATCCTTTGTACACCAAGTCTTTGTGGGGTTAAGTTTGCCCTCATTCAGGTGTTATGATTTGACTGGAGAAATGCTGGATGAACCAAATGCACAAACACCATGACATTTGCTGCTTCTGCCTTGTCCACTGTGATGAGAGCCTAATAAATAATCTGAGAATGATGAAATTGCAAAGATTTAGCTTCTTTGATGCTGTTGAAGAAGAGTTTGGGAAGACCCTCCTGCCGAGCCGTAAGGTTCAGGCTGGACACCCCCCCACCACCCTTGCTTTCTAAACTCCTTCTCAGAGAGGAGTCTAGGTGCAGCTGGATCCAGTCTTAGCCTCCAACTGTAGAAAAAAAGTTCAGACCCTAGGTTCTGTCACAGAGTTGGTTTAATACAGCTTGAGCTGGGTGCCTCTGAAGAGGGACCCCCTTGGTTATTTGCTTGTGCTTTTAAAGGCCTCACAATCTATTACGTAAGCTATTCATGCACCTGTTCATGCAACAAGCGTGTGTCTTTTGTCCAATCTAATTGTTCAATGGTTACGTGTCCTCTTCAATGACTGGAGTTTTGGTGCAGGTGCCTTTACCTTCTTACACAGTTTCATGATCTCTTTGTCCCATCTGCACCTGGATCTCATCTGTCTTCTGCTGACTCCAGGTAGAATGGTCCCTTTCTTCATTTCCAAGAATTATAGTTCCCTTTCCTTTGATCATAATGGTCACTCTAATTCACATTGCTAAGCATAATGCAATATGAATCATTAATATTACATATAAAATTTCATTATGTTAGTTAGGTTACAATATATCAGTCATGCAAAACTACTAGCCATTCTTCTTGGACTAAGAAGGATTTCAGCCTAAATTCACTGTGTTGCTAGGTTACAGCTTGTGGCCTAAGGCTTCACCAGTATAGCTACTCATGCTAAGCAAGGCACATGATTTGAATAATTAAGTTTAAGATTACTTCAGATCCCAACAGATGCCATTAATATATTTTTAGCGTACTAAGGGCATGTGAATTTCAGAACTTTTCTGTATTTTTTTCAAGGCTCCATATTTAGTTAGCAAATCTGTGTAATTTTACCTGTTAATCTGGTAATCTTATTACTATGATTGAACCATGTAATTGAAAAACATAAAATGAGCAATCAGCACTGAATCAAGTGAATTCCACTTCATTGTAATCCACGGCTTTCTATATTCATTGTTGGGTCATTAATGTTTAAATAAGCAATTAAATCCACTGTAGAAGGTGGGACTAGTCACACTCCTAAATCTGACAGGCATTTAAGTTTTAAATGCAATCTAAGATCAAGTACTTGAAAATTTTAGGATAGTTACTAATTCTGGCCATTTGCAGGACTGAGTTCTAAAAGTGCCATATGATTCAAGGACAAGGTGAAGTTGGGCGGTGAGAATGGGATTATTAACTCTGCTTTTCTTTTTCTTTCTTATGGCAATAAATAAAAGAAGCAGTGACATTATAGTATTTCAAAATGTATACGAGCTGTGCTCTTATACTAACATGACAGATTTTCTTCTAGGTAGACTGAGATTTTTAACTCCCAGAAGGGCAGAGGAGGAAGAGAGAGAGACTTATGAGTTTAAAAGCAACTAAACTACTATAATGAAATATTAATAATAAAATAATAAGAAGGAAATAATGAAATATATACAATATATACAAAACCGTATCAAGCTCCCAGGATGACGATCACATCACTGGTAGGCACTGGGAAAGTCCCAGACTGACAGATGGGAACTGGATTCTGGATCTGGATTCCGGAATGCAGGGATCGGGATCAAAGTCAGATGAACAGACAGAGTCCTTCTTGGATGCCAGCCATTGAAGAAAAAGAGGAGTGACCATTTGATCCCTCAGCTTTTATACTGAGCATGAGGCAGATGGGATGGAATACCGTGTTGGTCAGTTTTGGGTCACCTGTCCTGTCTG